GCAGTGTGGATGCAAAGAGAGGTCATTAGGCCAGCCCTCATTTTGTGTGTTTGTAAACGCCAGCCCTCATTGGACTTGAACCTCAGTTCCCTCCTGGGGTCCGAGGTTGGGTGAGGCCAGGACCTGGGGAACCTCAGCAACCTACTCAGATGCCCACTGTTTTGTTTTGTCAGGCTCCAGGGGACTGCCACCCCTTCCCTTTAGCAGGGCCAGTGTAGTTCTGTTTTCCTTCCTTGGTCTTCCAGCTCCTTCTCATTTAGCCTAGTATGCACACCTCCCATTCCCCCCACTCTGTCCTCTGCCAGATCCCAGCCTCACCGCCCTTTACCCGCCAGCCAATTCTGCTCTCTGTTGAGCTGGAGCATATTCCTACAGTCTCTCTGGGTCCACATGGCCTGAAATAGCATCCCTATCATCCTCTGGTGTACCCAATGAAACCATCTCCTTCCTTCAAAGCCCTCTCCTCAGCAAGGCCCTAACATGGTGCGTCTCCTTCCCCTGGGCCCAAGTCACATATTGCCTCTCTGCTGTGGCCCTTCACTGCTAATTCTTCTGCAGCTGTGTTTCATCTTCCTTCTAGATGGCAAGTCCTTGAGGCAGCGTCTGTGGCCAAGTCAGCTTTGCATCCCCATGGCACCTGGCAGGTGGGATGGGCAGGGCCAGGTACTATAGGCATTCACAGACACGGGCCATTTGAGTTCTCAGTCTGTGCGTTATTGCACAGCAGCCAAGCCCAATGCAGTCTGTTTCTGACTCATGTCCCCTTCCTGTGCCTTCTTTTGAGTCACTTCCTTTCTGGGGATCCTCTCAGTGAAGGGACTGAAGAAAATGGAGCAATAATCCTGCTCTTTGGAAACATTTGGGGTAGGGTAGGGAAAGAAGAGGAGGGAGGAATTTAAAAGAGAACTTCTCTGGGCCTGGGGCCAATTGGATTATTATCAAGAATGGGAGCAGGCCCCAAAAGTGATTCCTGAGACTACCTTTGAAGGCTGATAAAAGTCCCAAGCCCACTCAGGAGAAACATGTGTCTATCTAAACCCAGAATTCTGTACAACTGCTTCCCAGAGTTCTAGAACCCCTGCCCCAAATCCATCTTGGGATGTGCTTGGTCTCTGTGGACCACAGGTCAAACAACCCTGGTCTTATCTTATCTAAAAACTCTCCTTTTATAGAAAAGAACTTTGAACCTCAGAGAAAAGGGACTTCCCCAAGGTCACAGAGCTGACTGGTGGGCCTAGAATCAGTCTGTGGCTCCTGGGTCTGAGACCTTTCCATTTAGCCATGCGGCCTCTGCAGAGGCAGAGTAGAAGCTGGGGGTGATGTGGAGACTATTCTGTGGTGCCTCCCCCTTCCCCCAGATTTCCCATCTCAGGCCCACTCCCACTGCACAGCCCGAGGAGGTGGGAGGCTCTCTGGGCAATGATGGAAAGCCAGGGCCAATGGCTACAAGGGATGATGGATCAGCAGGCCTGCTAGGCCAGCTCTGAGAGGCTGGGGTGGGGAAGTTCAAGTTGCCCTGCCGGTCAGTGCCTCCTGACAGGAAACCAGCAGGCAGGGGTGACAGATGTCCTCTGACAGCTGAAAGGAAGCTGCAGGAAAACTGCAGTGGTGGCAGGAAGCAGGCACCCTGCCCCATCCTGTCGTCCTGTCAGGAGGCCACCTCTGGTTCTGGTGCCCAAGTGCTGTGGGGTAGGACGGTGTTGGGGCCAGTGGAGAGGGTGGGAGCTCTTTAGTACCCGAGTTAGAGAGAAAGAGGTGCTGGGAGGCAGGGAGGGAATAAGGCAAAATGCGTCTAGGATGTAATTTGCAATAACCAAATTACAAATTTGGCTGAGTCCGTCCAGCACCCAGACAGGGTCTAAGTGAATCACTGTGGTACCTGGGAATCACCAGCTTCCTGCAGGCATCAATATTCTTGGACGTTTGTCTCTTGAATGGCATAGCGTTAAGTTGAACACGAATTCACATTTTAGCATCCCCACTAACCTAGCTGGGTAATGGGACAAACTCCTGAATCGCTCTGAGGCCACAGATCTGGAGGAGTTGTTGGGGGTCACAGAGGCACTCTCATGTCCTCGGTTATAGAAATTCCCACTTCAGTTTCCCCACGTGGTGATAACCCAGAATATTCCTGGGTTAGTGGAGTCTCTGTCTCTCCGGGCTGTGCTGAAAACATCAGAACCCAAGACTGGAGCTCCTCCTGCAGCACTGGATGCAAGTTTCTTGTTCAAACGAACTACCACAACCTGGGATAAAAATGTTGGCAAGCCTCCCTTTCCCCCTTGCTGACATTATTCTGATCTTGGACATATCTGTTCTGGAAGATGTGTTCTGGAAGGGTTGTGGGGAGGGTATTCCCACTGGGGTCTCCTCCTCTAGCTGAAGCTGCTTCCTTGGGGTCTTGACCAGACCTCTCCCCTGGGGTCATTTTATTTTCTGCCCCTCTGGGATCTGCCAACTGTGTCCACAGTTGTTGGCTCCCCTGGAAGTTATACAGCCTGAAAGCAAAGACTGCCTGGTCTCCAGACTCCCCCTTACTTTCCCAGGAGGAGGCACACTTCCTTTCTCTGTCTCTGGCTTCCCTTTCTTCCCTCTCTTGTTGGAGGGCTTTCGCTCTAGCTCTTTCTGGCCAACCCAAAGATGATCTTTAGTCTTTTCTGAAGACCAGTTAGTCCACATTCATTCATTCAGTCAGTCAGTCATCAAGCCTGTATCCTGCCCCTACTGCGTGTCTGACTGTGGTAAACGAACACTTTGTGGATCTTACACTCTACTGGGGGAGATTGACCTTCACCACCTAATCTCACAAGATACAGAAATCACAGACAGATGTGCGGTGAAGAAAAGGCATGGGGAGCTGTGAGATTGTATCCAAGGTAAACATGCCTGAGTGTGAGCATTCACAAGCTTTCCCTGAGGATGTAATATTGGAACCCAGGTCAGGAGCAAGCTAGGAGGCACGGAGGGTGAAGAGAGAACAATCTAGTGGGGGAATGGCTTGTGCAAAGACTGTTTCCTTAGACCAGCAGTTCTCAACCTCAGTGTACATTGGAATCAGCTCGAGAGCTTTTAAAAGCCACAGATGCCTGGGTTCTATTCTCAGCATTCTTGATGGAATCGGTTTGGGCTGTGGCTTGGGCATCAGGGCCTTTAGAAGTCAGGATGAAAACTACTACCCTAGCAGGCCACCCACACTGCAGGGAGTAAATTTCCTAATCATATATGTTTAGGACACTCAGTATCAGGGGACAATAAGTAGGTGGAGCATTTCCAACATGCCATTTTCTTCCAGAAGAAATAAAAAAAATCCACCTTCAGAAATTCCTTTGTAAAGATCTTATATATAAGAACAAAATAAAATGAATAAAAATAATAATAAAAGCTATCAGTTAGCGATGTGTTCATCAGCAAGAAGTCCCTGTTAATAATAGTCTAAACAAAAAGGGGATTGTTTTTCTCATATAACAAGGAAGTCCAGAGGTGGACAATGGCTGGCTTTGGTTCAGCCTCTAAGGGTCACTATGAGGGTCCCATGTCCCATGAGGTTCTGGTCTTTCCTGTGTGTTGGCTTCTCTTCTCATACTTGTTACTTCATGGTTGCAGTGTGGCTGCCGCAGCACCAGACATCATGTGTCTTATAGACAGGAAGGAGAAGGAAACTGTCTCTTACCAGCAATGTTTTTCCTGTATCAGGATAGACTTTCCCAGATGCCTACCCTTCTCCCATCGCAGACCTTGAATGCAAGGTAGTCTGGGAGGTGGAATGACTGTTTCTCAAGTACAGAGAAATGAAAGGGAGAAGATACTGCAACACCCCTCATGGTTAAGGGACCCACAGAGAACATCACCTCCTCCACATCTCAGAACAAGAGTCTCTGAACCTCTTCCCCCAGGACTACCCTAAAATACTGTGGACTTTGACCTTCTTTCTGTTGTGAAGTTTGCTCACCTCTCCCAGGGCTTTTTGGTTTTCTCTTCCTTCACTCAAGTGACTCAGCAATCTGTTACTTCCTAGGACAACTTGTGATGGGACCCAAAGGGGACAGAGGATTTCCCGGGCCTCCAGGAAGCTGTCTTTGTGGAACCCGTATGAATGTGAATAACCCCTCCTACAGGGAATCCATGTTTGGGCCCAGTTCCACGCACGTTCCTGTGGTAAGGCTCCTAGGAGAAATCTGGGCTGGTTCTCCATCAGGACCTCTCACCTGACCCTCTCAGAGCTTTGTAAGAGCCTTTTAATACAACAGATTTCCCCATTATACTTGGGACACACTCATTATGGGACCATGATTGGAAAATAAAGGAAAATCAAAAGTAGGAAGCCAAATTGTCCATTTGGCTGTGGGTGCATTTTGAAGTATTTTCTTTGTCTTTTTTTAAGAACAAAAAAATATTTAAAATTTCAGGTAAATACAAAAACGGAAAAAATAGTGTAATAAACCTCTGTATCCTTCACCCAAATTCAACATTTATCAACTCCTGGCTAATCCTGTTTCCTCTTTACACCCACTCTCTACTGCCCACCCTCCCTTGGGTTATTTTGAGATAACCCTGGACATCAGTTCATCATTTGAGTGGACCCATAATCATCCATCCAACATGCGGCTGTGCTGTGATTTATTTAACCAGTGTCTTATTGTCGGATATTTATAGGGCTCTCTCAAACTTTTCACTAATGTAAATAAAACCATAATGAACACCTTTGAGTATAACAATTTTGTTAAGAATCATTTCCAGATGTTGAATTTCTTGATTAGATGATACCACCTTTTTATTTAAGTCTTAGGGGCATTTTAAATGTTTAAAAAATTTAAGTCATAGATAGTCTTTTTTTTAAAAGATATTTATTTGAGAGAGAGAGAGAGAGAGAGAATGAGCAGTGGGGAGGGGCAGAGGGAGAGAGAGAGAAGCAGGCTCCCCGCTGAGCAGGAAGCCCGATGCGGGGCTCGATCCCAGGACTCTGGGATCATGACCTGAGCCGAAGGCAGATAGATGCTTAACCAGCTGAGCCACCCAGGTGCCCCAAATCATAGATAGTCTTACTGCAAACTCAGACAGTTGGAACTGGATTGAGAAGATGTGGGAATCAAGACCTTCCTCCCTATTTCAGGAGGAATGCTGGAGTGTAATATGCAGACGCCCCTCCCATAGTTAACGATCCCAAGGATAGAGATTCTGTTTCCTCCTCCAGCTTTTCCCTGCCCATTATAGAAGTGTTTTCTGAAATTTTCACCAATGTGTTCTCTGGCAGATTTTTGTCGTCAACAACCAGGAGGAGCTTGAGAGGCTGAACACCCAAAACGCCATTGCATTCCGCAAAGACCAGAGATCTCTATACTTCAAGGACAGCCTTGGCTGGCTCCCCATCCAGGTACCATGAGGCAGGCACTCTGGACATAGCCCACCCCGAAAGGGACACAGCATTAGAGGAAAGAAGGGCCAACAGTTGGGCCTGGCGCAGAGCTTTCTGCAATCTGTTTCCGAGGAGGGCCTAGGCATCCTCCCTTGCTCTGCTTCTGAGCGGTTCTCCGTGCCCCTGCTCCCCAGATGGAACCTCTTCTCTGAACCAGAGTTCCAGATGGGCTCCCATCCCCACACTGCCAGGCCGCTGTCTTGATCTGATCCAGCTTCCCTGTCAGCTGCAGAGCTCTGAGCGGCAGGAGAGGAGTGCCTCTCCATCACCACCAGGTGGAAGCCCCCACAGACCCAGAGCCTCTGGCCCCAGTGCCAATGACCCGTCCTGCCTGCAGCGCCCGGCATGCCATCCCTGGTCACTGCCATGTGTTTCTTTGGCCAGGTGACCCCCTTCTACCCTGTGGACTACACTATAGACCACCGCGGCTCCTGTGGGGATGGGGTCCTGCAGCCCGGGGAGGAGTGTGACGACGGGAACAATAACGTGGACGATGACTGCATCAGTGAGTGGGGCCCAGCCGGGGCGGGGGGTTGGGGGACGGGGGCGGGCGGGAGGTGCTGAAGCGCAAACTGCCACTGGGCGGGGGAGGCTGAGGGCGAGCCCCTGGATGATTCTAGAGCCAGAGGAGGGACACCTGGCCTGCTCCCATTCTGGCCACATGTGGACCTCCACTGCCCAAGCATGTCGGTGGGGGTTAGTGTCAAGGATCTTGCCCCCCAGAGAAGCCGCCCGTCGCTCGCTTTTCCTGAACCCTACTTCTGGGCAAAACCCACATTCCAGTCCACATTCTTTATCAAAAGATAAAGGTGATGCAGAGTGAGAGACAAAAGGGAGAAGCCAAGAATTTGAATCAGGGCAGAGTTACCAGATAGAGCGCTAGTGGCGAAGCCCTTTCGTGGGGCAGCAGCCTTCAGGCTGATGGGGTGCTACCAGGCCAGGCACGCAACAGGGCCCTGGAGGGTTTGCTGTTCTTCTTTTGTCAGTCGTGCCACAAAGCAGGAGGGGAGATAGAAAGCAGGGGATTTAGAGTCCGACAGAACAGAGCTTGGATGCTCAGAGAGGAGGCTACTCAGTGACAGGGAGGTTTGGAGGGCAGTTCACAGCTCCGGGTCTCTCCTCAACCGAAAAATGGGTATGACAGCACTGACGGCTCCGGTCCTCAGAGATTCTGTGAGCTAATGTGCACTGGATCGTCTGGGTAGAGTAAGGGTTCAACATCCCTTCGCTGAATTATTTTCCGGCCCCTGCTGTGAGGAGCCAGGCCCCGGCTCAGGGCTGGGGATGTGCAAATGCAAAGTCTCCTTCCTGGCTCTGGGAAGGCTGACGACACTGCAGTGGAGTGAGGAAGGTGTGCACAGGGATGGATGCAGGGACGGAGAGGCAGCGGGCGCCCCCGCGGTGCAGCTGTACTTCCCGTGACCGACGCCGGGATGGTGCCCCCTGGCACGCCGGCTTTGCCTGGAGGCCCTTCCGCCCCGGCGCAGACACCGTCCGATAGATCACACAGCAGGAAGGAACTGAGGGGGTCTCAAAGCCCTGTAAAATGGGGGTGGGGCTCGGACTCCAAGACCCTTCCCTTGCGTGACAAAAGAGACCCCACTGAAGATCATCTGGCTCCCCAGGGACACAGAGCCACCCACCCTGGAAGGTCTCTGGAGACAGACAAGAGCCACCTCGGTCATCACTTGTGCCCAGTGCTCAGTCTGCTGATCCTCACTTCACGGGAACCCACAGTGCGTCCTGTGAAGAAGAGGTGGTAGCCACGTCCCAGGCTTTAGATAGGGATATGGAGGCTCAGAGAGGCCAAGTGGCCTGTTCTTGGTCCGTTGGCTACTGAGTAGCTGCAATGGGCTAGAGCCTGGGTCTCCTTAGTCTCTGATGTGGGATTTGGGGGTCTGAGGGGCCGTCCCTGGATGCATCTGAAGCTTTATGGAAGTCCATTCAAGAGGGTGCATGCTCTGGGGGGATCCTTCAGGCCACACAGTCCTTACAGGCTGAGGTAAGTCTGTCCCACCCTAGCCCCCTCTCAGGGCTACTTCCTTGTATCCCTCAGGCTGTCACCGGGCCTACTGTGGAGACGGTCACCAGCACAAGGGCGTGGAGGACTGTGACGGCTCTGACTTTGGCTACCTGACGTGTGAGACCTATCTCCCTGGGTAGGGATCACCACGTGTGCTATCCTGCACCCTGCCTCCCTCTCTGCCTGCCTCCTCTTCTTTCCTTCACAAATATTTTTTTTAGTGCTTATGTTCTTTCTACTCTCTAAACACTGAGGTATGGTGATAGTTAACACGTGGTCCCTGCTCACTAGGGGAGACAGGCCATAAACATAACCACCATGTGCCTCTCAGAGTGCCTGAGTGCCACCGAGGCCAAGCTGAGATAGACAGTGACCAGCTCCATCCTGGGCCCTTGGGAACCGGCAGTCTCTATTTCAGCGGTTGCCCCCAGATGAGCAGCTCCCATCCCCAGTGGCTACCATGACCACGTTAGTCTTCTGGAAAGTGGGTCTGGAGGAAGCCCAGTGGAGAGTGGAGGGACCAGGGCATTCCCAAGAACCTAAGCATCTGTATAACCTGAATTCTCTGGGACAACCCCTGATTCCCGGGCCTGTGGGTGCAAATGAGATCACAACAGCATTAATATCTAATTTTGCTGGCTCATGGCTCCTCCAGGAAAACCCCAGGAACTTAGTATCCCCTTCAAGGACCTCTCTAGTTATATCTGGGACTCTCCAGTGGGTGTTCACGTTGCTCAGAATAAGTATTCTAGTGTCTTGACCTCCACGTTGATGTCTCCGAAGACAGCTGAGGGCCACTAGCACTATGAAATGCAAAACAGCACCACATTCCCCTTAATTCTTTCAAAACCAGAGTTGTATAGCATTCTAGGGGAAATGGGAAGGCTGTTCCACCCTCAGTTCCTGCTTCTTCCTTGGCTCCAGAGTGGATCACTGGCCCCTCACACCTCTTAAGTCCCTCAGGAGTCCAGTCTCTTCAGCGTTCCCTTCCAGCCCTGTTCCTTGCACCCAGCCCTCTGCAGGGCTGGGAAACAGCCACCAGGCCTGTCGTTCTGTCGCCTTCTCTCTGCTCTCTCTTCCAAGGAGGTCTCCTCAATGTCCACCCCCTGAACACACACCAACACACCAAACCAGGCTGGGAGAACTACAGACCTATAGTCACCCCAAAACAAGCACTTTAGGCTTGGTCAGGATGCCCCCTCCACCCGTATCTGTGTGTCTGTATGTACTTCCCTATCTCTGAAGTGTGGAGGGCTCCTAACCTGCCAGGGAGTTGGCAGGTCTGAGCTGGTTGGTTGATGGCTTCACGGACACAACTCAATATAGACAGCTGAACGTGGAGCACAGGATTGCATAGAGCCCAGAGCTTACCCACTGGCTCACTGTGATTACTCGTCTGATCTCTAGAAGCCTCAGAGAATGCTTGTGAATATGGGTGTAATGTATAACACAGGGTCAGGATTAGCACTTGGGCTTACAGAAGTATAAACTGCTGTCCAATATGGTGGCCCCCAGTCACATGTTGCTATTTAAATTTAAATTAATTAAAAATAAAATTAAAAATCTAATTATTCAGTCACAGCAACCTTATTTTAAGAGCTCAGTAGCCACATATGGCTAGTGGCTGCCATAGTGGACTGCACAGAAATAGAACATTTGCATCACCACAGTTATGATCTAATGGAGAGCACTGAAACCTTTCAGGTCTTGAGAAGGGAGTGATTCTCTCAAAGATGCTGTGTTAAGAACAAAGTTACCAACTCTTTCCACCCAGATCCTTCAGCTGGGCTCCGGGGGAAAAGTCCCAGAGGCCTGGACTCAACTGCCCCAAGCCTCTCACCCCAAATGAGAATGAGAACAGTCTCTCTGGAACCCTTAGGTAAGGTAGCAGCCATGGTTGCTGTCTGATGAGCTTTGACCAAAAGTCACCAGAGGTGGCCTTTTAGAACCTGGTGTGGTCGTGAGGGCTGGGCAGGAGCTCCCCTGCCCACTGGCCCGTGAGCGCCCTGACCCCTGTCTACCCCCCCTCAGGTCGTATGGAGACCTGCAGTGCACCCCGTACTGCTACATCGACTCCACGTCCTGCCGCTACTTCACATGAGGGCCGCGAGGAGGAGGAGGGCTGCGTCTTACGTAACCGGCAGCAGCTTCTCCACCCTCAGCAAATTGACTTCGCGCCATCCTGGTCCAGTTTCCACCACCTTCGTGCGACAACAACAAGGACAAACTCTTGCTGCTAAGACATGCTTGTAACTCAGTCTGACTGGAAGAACTTAGGACTACTGCATCCTGTCTTAATCCAGAGTCCAGGAAAACCTTCCACGTGCCCGACCCGGGAACTGTTCCCCATTGCTACCATCTGGCCGAATAGCCAAACCTACAGTGCCCTTTCTCTTCTGGAATGTTACTGACCCACACCATGGACTTGGCTTAGAACTGTTAGCCCCACCTAGACCTGCAGGGCCTTTTGAATTTGTTCTCCTCCCACTTGGGGCATCTGGTGTACAGGCCTCTCCACTCCTCTGATCTCTGGAAATGTGGGCATTCTCACCCAGGGCAGTCGGCTGTCAGGTCTCTCCAGGCCCATGAACCACAAAGCAGGGAAGTGGGCCCGTTCTCTCGGAGTGGCTCCCAGCTCTGGACCCACTGAGGAACCCCTCAACTGGCTACGGCCCAGCACAGCCTCATGTGGATGCAGCTTCCCCAAGAAGAGACCCAACTGTGAAAAGGTCCTGAGAAGGCCACCAAAATGGTGCTCTGGCCCTGGAAGAGGGTGGAGGCCCAGCTGGGGTGCTCAGCATGTGAACAATAGCAGATCAGTGGCCTTCTGCTTCTCAGTGTTTCCCAAAGGGGTAGCCCTTGTGGTTTCACTGTCCCCAGCACCATCTTGACCTTGTGGCCCTCGGCACCTTGACCTCTGTCTTGCAAATGCCCCTTATGTCCCTTTCTTATTCAGGAAATTCACTACCAGAGGGTGACCTCCTAAGTCTACACTTGGGCAGGCTTTTGGTGTTTCCAGTCCTTAGGAATGCACCACTCTGGGTTTCCCCATGTGAGGCCCTATGACTGAGTACCTGCCCTAGGCAGAGACCATTTCTCCTGAGCTCCAGCTCCTGGCTACCTGCTGACTCCTGTGTGCATCCCGTGGCCTTCCCTTTGTGTCTCTGTAGTGCATTGCCTTGCCCTCATGTCTGTGTGCCTGAGCCCCCCCACGTTTCTGCAGGGTCGTTAGTCTGGCCTGTCTGTGAGCTGCCTTATACCACCATCTTTCCTGAGTGGGGCTTGCTTAGCTTTGGTTCGCAAAGATGTCTCCCCCATGGCAGACCTCAAATGGGATTTGTCTATTTGTTACCAGATGGAGGGACACTTTGGGGCTTTTGTACGAAGCTAGTGTGCCTGAGTCCTAGGGACTCAGTAGACAGGAGCTTCTGGCCCAGCAGACCATCACTAGTGGTCTGTAGTAGATGGGATCAGCCCAAAGGTGATGTCTTTAGAGGTGGGCACACTGGTCAGCCCAGTTCCCTCAGCCTCTACTGCACACCTTAGGGTGATATTGCCCCCATGTAAAGCTACACCTTCATGCTGGGATCTCCATATGGGAAATCAAGCAATACAAGCAGTTTGTTTCCCTCACTGTGGCTCTCTTTCCCTTGGGGTTTTGGGCCAGTGTCCCAGCATTACTGTTTGGAATGAGGGGTCTGAATTCACTGCCTCCCAGGCTTTGCAAAGGGTTCTAGAATGTGGAGCAGTACTGTCCCTCAGGGACAAGGGAGGAAACCGATGTTGAGAGAGATGGAGGGACTTACCTAAGGCCACAAAGCCTGCTCTTGCTAACCCAGCGCCACTCCGGCCTTATTTTAGGACCACAATTAAAACAAGATGGAGCTCCAGCACCGCCCTTGGTTGGACCTGGCCACATAAGGCCCTGTCCCGGGTCCCTTGCCTTGAAGGGCACCAATCTGGCCCTCCTCTGGCCATGACCCTCCCCACAGGTCAGGGAGTCTGTGAGGCCAAGGTGACCTTCCCACTGTAGCTTGTGCACCCCTCTCCCAGACCATGATCCAGGTACCCAGGAGACCACAGTTCCCATCCAGGTGGTCCTGAGCAGGCCTCTTTGCCATGTCTGTTCTCCTGAGTTTGACCTGCACACACCTGGGTGGCCAGGGACAAGCTGTGTTTAGAGGTTGTAGATGGGGCTTGGTTATGCGGGCTGGGGTTTCCACACAGATATACACGAAGCCCCTCTCAGTGTGGGCTGAGCCTTGTTCTCCTTGCGCCACCACAGAACTTTGAGGAATCTAAATATTCCAAATGCAAACCCAGCCTTCCAAGTACTTAGGAAGCAGTGCTTGGGAAGATGGTAGGACAAATTTTCTAAGCATCATGGGACAGATACACTGGTCATCCATCACTCTAATACAGGCCTGGAGGACACATGGGTCAAATTGCTCAAGAAATCTCCAAACCTCATAATTAATGGGCCAACCATGCTCCAGTGACTGCTTTACTTGAGTTGTCCCCCTCTCCTTTCCTCCCCTGTAGTGGAGTGAACCAATTTCAATGAAACTCAGATCTTGCATTTGTGTGGTAACAATGAGCTCACAGATCAAGGATCTTGGCAAGTCATCAAGGAGACTTATACTTCAGCAACCCACAGTTACCACCCATGGGCCCAGAGGCTCCAGGAGTGTGGTTTCCATCTCCATTTGTAACCACTCTGAGAGGCTGCAAATCACACAAGAGTAATGGGTTAAGGACTCCCCACCCCACATCATCCAGTTCCTTCCCTCCCCTGCCCCTGGGGTGGGGGGAAACAGAGGAAGAGAACTCACACTGCCTTTATCAGAGGGGATTCCTCTCTGGGGGTTCACCTCAGTTCTTTGCAGCCCCGGACAGTTGACTTTTGGAGTCAGACAGCTCAACAAGAAACAAACTCACTAAAGGAAAAATGGGCTATTTCCCCTGCCCTCTGTTCCCCTTTGTCCCACTACCTTTACAAAAAGAAATAGGGGTCCATGTAATAATGAAATCCTGCTGCCAAGATGCTGGTATCTCAAGAGAATTGGTCATTATTTTGGTCTTGCCATCCTTCTACCCCCTCAATACCTCTTCTGGAATTTGGGTTTTGATGTTCTGACTCATAAGGAGTACCACACCCCACTGCATGTGCTACTCCAGGTTATTCTCCATCCAACACCTAGCACGGGAAATTGAAGGCAGTCATCCCTAGTCGTGGATCATCACTTGAGGCCCATCACAGGAGACTGTCTTCTTAGGGCAGAGGTTTAAAGCTTTAGGGTTTATAAGGATGACCTGAAGGCTTGTCAAAAGAGATTACTGGGACCCACTTCGGAGTTTACGATTCAGCAGGGTGGGACTTGATAATTTCTACTTCTAACAAGGTCCTGATGGTGCTGGACCCAGGGACCACATTTTAAGAGCCACTACTCTGGGAAAATGTCTCATCTGAGACCAGATACACTGGGGGAGAGGAGGACTTTGGGTAGGTGGCTTTTTTAATACTCTTCCATTAAGGAGGAGTCCCTTCCTCTTGAATCTAGGTCGGCTTTTGATGGTTCAGACCAATAGAATACTGTGGATGTGATGCTGTGTGACGTCCAAGGCTAGGTCATCTACGGCCAAGCAGCTTCTTGGGACACTCATTCTAGGGGAAAGCAGCCATCATGAAGGAAGACCAACTACCTAGAGACTGCCATGTCAGAGAGGCTCTGCTTGATAGTCCCAAATGAACCTGCTTCCAGCCATCCCCACCATGGTGCCACACGTGTGAGTGAAGCCAGTTTGGATTCTCCGGTCCTGCCCATCTGCCACCTAAGTAACACTGAGCGACCTCAGTCGAAGCCCCAAGGAGAATTGCCCAGCCAAGCTCTATCCTAAATCCTAACCAACAGATTCCAGGAGATAAAATGGTTTTAAGCCACTAAGTTTTAGGGTAGTTTGTTCCTTAGCAATAGGTAACAAATAGTGCTTTAGGTTGGAAAGCTTAGAGAGGAAGTCAACTACTCTGAACAGGGCAAAGTGCGAAGTCCAGAGGGGCCGCTGGCTTGGCTTTGGTGCCCTCTGCAGGAACCATGAATAGAAATTGGCCTTAACTCCTACGTGGACTTTTATTTATCTGCCCAGGAGAAAAGTCAGGCCGAGAGGGGACTTAGTGATCGTATGGCCCAGGGTTCTCAACCGTGGTGGGGATGTGGGTATGTGGAGGTAGTAGACTGACTGCAATAACCGCCTAATTCTCACACCTCTCCAACGTACTTTGCAACTCCTCCCGTCCGCTGGTGGAAGGCACAGTATTTGCCCACCCCTTGATTCTGAACCTGACCCTGCGACTTGCTTTGGCCAATGACATGTTAGCAATTGTGACAGAGGCAGTGGTGTTTTCTCTCTCAATCTGGCACCTCTGCCTCTGCCATGACAATATGCCTATGCTAGGCTGCTAGATGTTAAGTCACATGGAGCCCACCTGAATTGGCCAAGGCCATCGTGGGTCAGCTGAATCTGTCAACTGCCAGACATACGGAGCCCGGTCAAGACCAGACTGTCCAGGCACTCCCAGTCTAAATCATCAATCCAGACTTGTAAGCAAAATAAATGCTTATTTTAAGCCACTGGATACTGGGATGCTTTGTCACCTACCATTGTAGAGGCAACAACACTTAACTCAGGATCAAAGTCCCTTAAGTGATGAACGTACACTGCCACTACCCCAGAGAGTCCTGGTTCGAGTCTGACTCCTATTTCCACCTGACGAAACGGAAGCCAGTTGCAGAATAAGCAGCAGAGGATTCCTAGCCTAGTTCTTTCTCTCTTTTTTTTAAAGATTATTTATTTATTTGAGAGAGAGCAAGCACAAGCAGGGGGTGCAGCAGAGGGAAAGGGAGAGGCAGGCTTCCCGCGGAGCAGGGAGCCCGATGCGGGGCTCGATCCCAGGACCCCGGGATCATGACCTGAGCCGAAGGCAGACACTTAACCGACTGAGCCACCCAGGCGCCCCCAGCCTAGTTCTCTTAACGTGTAATTGTAGTCAACCCAAATCTATGGAACACCCATTTGGTGAAAGACACTAGAGAATTAAAAGGGTCGCTGCCCACCTAGAAGTTTATAGACCACCTGGAGCCAAGACCACAGGACTGATGTGGGCCCTGCTGTATGTGGAATGGAAGCAGGAGGCAGGATCACTTCCAGCCAGTGATGTCTGTGAGGACGGAGGAGTGGCATGGCAGTGCGGGTGGAAGGAACCTGTGAGCTAAAATGACTAGGCTATGTCTACGCATTCAGTTTAACCCGTGCGTGGCTCTCAGATTCAAAGCTAAGCTGCCTTTCCAGACCAAATAATGGCCTCAGGTGCCATTTGACTTGCTAAAGACAACCTTTAGTTTTGAACTTCACACCTTTCAAGACTGAGGTGTTTATCCTAATGATCATAAACACCAAATTAAAAAGGATTCCATTTCGATAAAGTAGGCTTAAGTATAAAGGATTCTTAATAGAATCCTACATTTTTCATTGATTCCTAGTAAGAAAATAAAATCCACCAAGACATGGAGTGTATTGCTGACCTTTTTTTTTTTACTTAAATATAGTGATCTTTAAGAGAATAAACCAAAAAAAACTTTATACAGCAAATATTTTACATAAATGTAAACATACACATCTACTTCATAATTATGCAAAATAAACTTTTAGGCACAAGATTTTAAAAATCATTAAAGAATAAGACAATGAATCCAAGACAGATAGGACAGAAGCAACAAAAACACATTTCATAATGCTTCAATTGATCTTGTCTTCCAACCTACTGGTTAAGGCCTGAGTTTCAGAAATCCTACCTTCCTTGCCAAATGGAAACATCCAATTTGGCTGTACCTAATATACATCCACATAACAGACTATTATCTTTCAAAATAATGTAATAAATACATCTCTCACACACATACAAACACCCCCATACATACACCCTACTTAACCAGCCTCTCAATAAAGACAGCAAGGATTTTGAAATTTTCAAGTTTCCCCACCACTGAAGCACACACACATTAATTCCACACACAGAAAAAAAATGATTCTGCTATAGAAATAAAGTAGTTAATGAGTGGCATCACAAATCTCTAGTTTGTATTAAGTTTCCCCAAAATCACATCTTTACTGTGGCTTGCCATGGCTCCTTGGGTACCTAGGATTTAAGTCTTTATACCTTGCCTAATGACCCACAGAATGGTAGACGTTATACAGGACAAAGAAAAGGCAATTTTAACAATTCAGGTAGAGACTTCAAAACCATGAAAATCAGCATGGATTGTTTCCAGCTGTCCCCAAATGCTTGGAATGTTTTCTCCATGTCTACCCTCTGTACTCCACTGGCCGGTTTTCTCTGCCTCCTCCCCACCAGGCTATAAGCATCTGAATGTCTAGTCCTGTGAACACCCCAGGGAATAGAGATGAGAATGACAGTCCATGCTTTTAAGGAGTTCACACCAACCAGAGCTCAAGCAAGAGGAAGGTCAGTACGTCCACACAGCACTCGAGTGGGCTGAAACGAGCAGAGGAAGAGGCCACGAGGATGGCATCTCCGGAGCGTCAGGACTGGGGCCTGGCGGGACGGGTGGGGGGGGGGCGGTATTGAGAAGGCACAGAGGCACAAAGAACAAGTCCAGTGAGGCTGGCACGAGGTTACACATGAGAAGTAGTCTGTGAGGCCAAATTCTTGATTTCCAAAAAGAAAAGATTCCTCGTTCTGGTGGGTAAAGCTGGAGGGCCGGGGGAGGGAACCACCGAGGGCTTTGTGCAGAGAACAAACTGGAAACGGGCTAGAGGAGAACAGTGCAGTGTCAGGTAGGACGGGTAACAGAGGAAAGGGTCTGAAGCCCAGAGAGCTCGGCTTGCCAAACCCAGTGCCACACGCCAACATGCCCAACATGACCCAACATGCCAAAAGCCACAGCTCTGTCTGTCTAAATCAAGACTTTGGGAGAACAAAAAAAAGAGTGAGAGAGGAGTTTAAGTAGATATTTTTAGTTCAAGTTCCTGGAACCTGCCCCAGCTTGAGCAAGTTAAGAGCTGTGAAACAAGTCCCACGTGCAGTAACAAGTCAAGTCTCCCAATTGTGACCTTCACCTTCCCTGAGCTGTCATTACCAAGGAATTATAAAACAATTATCAATTCATTATAAATTCCTACCTGCCATTAAATGCACTGAAACCTCACGATGGGCGGAGCACCCAGCACAAAGTACTGGTGTGTTAGCCTATTACCTACACTAGGTGGGGCAGTGTGAGTGCGCCACGGGATGACGGCGCTGGGCCCCCATCTCCAGCTCACCGGAGCCCCTGTGTGCATCAAACAGGTGGCTCGATAAGGTGCGACTCTCACCAAAGCCCCCACCGTGAATCATCTCATTCCTTTCCAGGTCCAGACTGCTTCCATCCACTAGCGGGGGATGCAGAGGCCATCTTTGAGTGGAGGAACCCAAGGAAGGAAAATCAATTTTAATGTTTGCGATACCCACTGAACCAAAGTAAATGGAAATTTCTCAGGACCTTCAAACTGTATTCATTCAAATTACAGAAATGGGCTACTCCATACTAATCACGGGACAATTTATCACACATTCACTAAATATGGAACATTTACTAGTGACCACTTCCCTGTAACAGATTCATTTGGAAACTGCACACTGCAAAAAGGCAATCTTGTGACTTTCTTCTAGTTGTGTATCAAAAATACAAATTGGTCTGGGAGTCAGGCACAAACAGTGGTAGAAAAGCATGAACAGAAATGCCTTCTCAAAGGATGTGCTCATTTCATATTGCAGAACTGCTTCCTATCTAGATTCTGGGTTTTTGAAAACCTGCTGCTGGTTCTCTTGTTCGGAAAGGTTCCTTCACTACACCTCTCTTCCACTCCTACCTCCCCCTACTAAAATGCACTGAATGAAGAACGCTTAGCATGGATCTACGGAACTAACAGCCCCCATCTGACTGCATCTCACGCGTCAGCGCAGTGGCTGCTGGTCTGACCTGCTCATCCAGCCTCATGTATTTAGTGACTTTTTGGATCAGAATTTGAGTCAGAAGTACCCAACACTTTTGTCTTTTGCAATCCAATAAAAGCTCCGATATACAACTATCAGTGTCATGTATGAGAATCTCCAGTTCCAATAAATGAGATTCAAGGAAGGGAGCAGCAGGGAAAGCCTGGACTGGGGGCAGGAGACCGGCCATCAGCCAGTCGTGGGCTTCTCTTTCCTTACTTGTAAATGAGGAGGTTGAACTAGCAGAGCTCCAGGGTCCTCCCTGGCGGATGCTCTAGGACTCTTTCTCAAAGTCGGTTCCTACACAGGCTTATCAGGTTGGGTCTGACAAAATTTCCTTACCACTTTGTCTCAACAGTGTAAAGTGGTTTTAACATACTTCTATGCTGCAGTTTGAGGTTTCCCTCTCTCTCCTACCCCTCAAAGACCAGGTTTCATTTCACTGGTGCAGACCACTTAGCCAAACTGGTGGCTGCTGAGGTTTAAAACGGAATCACTGGCCCCCTAAAGATAATGGCCTTTGAGTAACCTAGACCAGGGCACATTGGTCTGTTGTCTATGAACAGTGTTAACCAAATAGAAATATAATTCTGTTAGTTCTTCCATAGTTCTACTTTGCAACATGAGATTGTTCAAAAATTACACGAGAAAATCACCCATCACCACTAAGTTAAAGACTTGAATGTCTGAGACCTCCAGAGCCTCAAACTCCTACACAGTCACTGATCCACAGCGTGTCCCTCTCAGCACGCGGCTCCGTGCGAGCGCAGCCTGGTCCAGCAGCACATCTGTGCACGAGAAGCTGATTTCGAAAGATCCGACTCTAGTCATCACTGTCACTGCCAGACTCACTCAACTGCAAGTCATTTCCTATAAAAAGAAAACAGAATCACACCAAAAGTGCACAACTTCAAAAGGACTTCCCCACAATTCTTTGTTTGACTGCCTTGGTTATCACACTACAGTAAAACCAAGCCAATTCCACTTAATTAGGGAGGAAAATCAATTTGGCTCAGTGACAAAGCTGATGCAGTCAACATTTTTAAAGAAATGCTATTCTTGGTAGCTGCAAAGCACAGCAATGCTGCTCACTGGGATAGAACAGGCGAGGAGCAGGCCAGACAACTTTTAAATGTGTTAATAAATAGCAAGAAAGCATTTATAAATAACTCATTCACCATCTAGAATTGTCCACATTAGATTGCTTTATAAAAGCTAAAATAACACAGAGTTAGGTTCCCTGTTAAGGAAGCCGAATACTGTTTATACCAGGAACACGCTAATCCAGGATCCCCTCTGGGACATCTCTGTTCAGGATATTCATGTTACTTTAAACCTCAACTCAACTAATGAGCTTTTGTAAAGCCTCCGATTTTTGTTTAGTGTGCTCAATTTAGGAGTGAAGAACAGGAGTACTCAACATTTCAGTCTCAGATGATAATAAAAATAACAGGACCCCAGCTGACACCACAAAAGTGAACTACAGCATGACCGATTGCTAATCCCTGGGCCAGCTCTTCTCAAAGTTTGTTCTGAGGACCCTGGGTTCCCTGGGACTCCTTCAGGAGGGTACTTCCTTTTCTACTCCACGCCTGTGTGATGACAGATTTTCTTCATCTACATCAACCTGAACAACTTAACAGCAATAGACCGAATGCAGAAGTGGGTGTAGAATCCAGCTTTCTACTAAGCTAGACATTAAAGGGAATTCTAAAATTGTAAAAATATGTTACTCTTCTTACTAAATATTTTCTGATTGGAAAATTTGTTCTTCATAAAAATGTTACTTTTGTTAACATGTGATGGTTATTACTGTTACTTTAAATGAATTACTGAATATATTTTAAATATTTCTCAGTTTTAATTTCTAATATGATAAACACTGATAGATCTAAGCCACATACACAAAAGCTCTTTGGGGTCCTCAATAATTTTTAGAGTTAAGAGCTCTGAGACCCAAGAATGTGACAACTAATCTTCTAAACTTAAGGAAGTCAACACGGGCATGGCAACCACTGGTCACTCCCAATCAGCTAAGCGGAGCATGATCTCTTACACAATAAGATGCTGTGCATTTAACAGGTCAGTGTAAATGGAGGTGAAAATCTAGTTTTGAAATCGCTTATATAATTGATTTGATTCAGGTTCAGATTGATCCACTTATTTATTTTTGAGAAGAGAAAATATAATCTAGGTTACTATTCAGGAAAACAATCTTATAATGACTATGTATTTTTATATCAGGGTTAGCAAATTTGCGCTATTTACTTTGATTTTAGGGTTTATATGTTGGTTCCAGTTGACAATCCTGGTTTAAATAACTCTAGTGCTTTACTGTCTATGAGATATGCAGTTAAGGTCTTGCTATTTGAAGAGCTGCAGAACAGGATGACTTGGAGCCATAAAGAGCTCAAAGGATTTTAAGGCACTGGTAGGCAGGTAACACCCACGGTGCCATTTGTTTGCTCTTTCTAAAAGGAAAGAGTAATTTAGCATTCACTGGGCAAAATTAGGAACGGACTTAAAGCCATAGTAGCTGTCTGGTACTTTTCCACTGTGAACACCAAACTCCCAATGTGAAACTTACTCTCCCTAGCCACCTGAGAAGAGCACCACAGCACACCCTGATACCTAGAACGCAGGCCCACAGAACGGGATAGCTGACAGGATCCTTAACTGATATCCTAACGGGGCTGAACTCACTCAAGGAAAAGAGCGAGGCTTTGAGTAGTGTTTCTCCAGTGGGGGTGGCTCTGTCCCCCAGAGGACACCTGGCAATGTCTTGAGATATTCTGGGTTGATACAACTGGGGCAGAAGGAAGAAGAAGGGCACCTAGTGGGTAGAGGCCAGGAACGCTCTTAGCCATCCTACAATACATACGACTGCCCCCCCGCCCAACAAATACTTACCTGGCCCACAATGTCTGTAGTGCTGACGTTGAGACTTACCTTTGCCTGGTCCACAGGAGTAGGGTTAACTAAGCTAGCGTCCCCACTATTGCCTCCTCAAAGGCAGACATGCTCTCTGAGAGCATTCGTTAGGACTCTGGACAGAGAGGGGCATAGGGAAGCAGTACTCTCCCCACGTCCAATACAAAGGAGTTTGTCTTTGCCCTTGTTTTCTTCTGCTTTACTTTAGTATCAGCTGCATTGAGAGCCACCCAGACACTGCAATGCTCCTTTCTCTCCCTCCTGCCAAAGGCTAGTTGGTTTCCAAATATATCCTAATGGCTCAGGTTCCCAAGTCTGCGGGCTGTGGGTCACCACAGTCCGGAGAACTGGGTTCTTGGGACCTGTAAAAAGACCCGGAGGCAGGGGGCAGAATGGTGGCAGGCAGCATCCCTAAAGCCTGCTAAATGCAAAAAATAAAGAGCCGAGCTGTTCGTGTTTCAGCATTTTTCAGAATTCACAAAACCTAATTTGTGCCACTGGGGAAAAAAAGAGAAAGAACAGACTTTTTGGTTTTGTACTTCCCTTTTTTTACTCTTTGGTAACTTACTCCTTTCTGCTCCAAATTTTCTTGGTCGGGATCCTTTCTTACGCCTTAAATATCTTCTGGTGTGAGGTAAGCAGAAGCCCCATCTCTGGCCCGACACGCCACCCCCGGCTGAGCCAGAAAGGGAGAGCACACTTACTGAGCGTGTTCATGAGCTGGCTGCTGCCCTGGGGCCGGCCGGTCCCATTGGCGGCGGCCGGCCTGCTGCCGTAGGGCTGCTGGTGTGCGGGCTGCGGGGGGGACGCCGGGCCGTTGTCCTCGGCGCCACTGCTGGAGCTGTCCTCATCGCTCCCCGACGAGCTCTCCGACTCTGAGGAACTGCTCCCGCTGCTGCTGCTCATCTGTTCAATAATGTCAACTTCAGCTCGCAGCTCTGGGACAAAATGACATGACGGGGGTGAGCACAGCAGCCCCTCTCAGGGCCACACGCTGCAACTGCTGTCAACAGTGAAGTGGCAAGACCAACAGCAACGAGGAATAACTTAAACTCCTGCTTCTTAATTCCTTAAAAACGTACAAACAAAATGACTAAAACCAAAACCAACAAAATCAAACTCTGTCTTCAGAGAGACAATGGAAACATTAACTTCAAATAACCAAACGGAAAACGGTTTCAGATAATGGCTGTTCTGTATAAGAAATGAATCAAGTCTATTTGCCTTATCTACTTTTAAAAGAAAAGAAAAGAAAAAATTGTGAATTATGGGATTAAACACCAAAAAAGAGAAATATTATGCTAAGGGGTTGAAAAATATTTGATTAGGCACTGGAAGATCTGGATGTTTGTTTTCGATCCACCTCTATCTAACCAGCAGTGAGACCCAGGTGTGAGTCGATGAATTTTCCAAGACACGGAAAAAATGCAAGGTCAGAGCAGGCGGCCTCCGAGTCCTTTTCAGCTTTCCCGTCCCACAGAGAAACTGAGGCAGGCAGGGGAACCATGGTAACTGAAGGAAAATGGGGAAACGACATTCTTCCTCTGCCCTCTTTCTATAGCTCACCGACAGCCATGCCTGTCAGGTACTACATTTTCTACAGATGAATGGCAGGGAAGGAAAAACAGGTCTTCCTAACCTTTCCAAGTCACTGAGTACATTAAGGATACATCCGAGGATACATTAAGATGCCAGATTTTCCTGTCCAAACATACCACGCGGTTTTAAACAAGTATGGTTCCTTTAAGCATAACTGGCAATAACTAACCGCTCGTGGTCCAGTTCCTGTTCAACTAAAGTGAAAACTTGAATAAACAGCATTCTAATATCCACGAGGAAAACAAAAACAGGAGGCTTAACAAATGTGCACCATGCAGAGAATGATTCTGTTTACTAAAAGAGAGCACTTCTATAAGGTAGAAAAGGCAAACTTCCCAAGGACAACTCTTTATCTTTCCCTATCTACCACTGTTACAGATTTACTTTTGTTTCACAGAACTTCAGAAATCTGAAATATGACATTACCCTCCTAACTTCCTAAGAATCTGGACAACTAAAACCACCCCCTCACTGTACGGGGAGAAAGCCAAGGTGATCCTGGCCTCGGGTCTACATTGGAGAGAGCCTGATCAGACCTCTGCGTCTTTCTAGGCCATGTCCATTTCCAGGTCCGCATGGCACTCTCGTGTTCACACGCTTTGTGTTAGTACAAAGCATTGGTCCTGGTATTTTAGATGTTCTTCTGACCTAGATACTATACTAACATTGACACACCTGGTTTTCACCCCGACACCTTGGGATTCTCTTCTCCCAAAGCCTTAGAGGAGTGTCGTATGGACCTCTGGATGGCAGTCATGCTTGTTTAATATCCGGGGCCTCTAGGGGCGCCTGGGTGGCTCAGTTGGTTAAGCAACTGCCTTCGGCTCAGGTCATGATCCTGGAGTCCCGGGATCGAGTCCCATATCGGGCTCCTTGCTCAGCAGGGGGTCTGCTTCTCCCTCTGATCCTCCCCCCTCTCATGCTCTCTCTCTCTGTCTCATTCTCTCTCTCAAATAAATAAATAAAATCTTTAAAAAAAAAAAAAAAAATATCCGGGGCCTCTAAGCAGAAAGCTGCAAAGATGGCCACCACTCCAGTCACTGTTCCCGGGTCCCCCTTGTCCAACGAGGCACGTGGCAACGGCCCCCACCCGCATCACCTCTGGAATGGTGAACTCTGCAGAAATGTTTTTCAACAGCAGAAAATGCCTGTGCTGTCATGTGATCGCCACAAAAACACCAACGTCCCACTCCAAGCTGCTATCGCGTTCCAGAAAATGCTGCCTACCTCTTTTGATGTCATCCAGCTGGGGTTCAGGTGAGGGGTTATCTTTCAAGGGAGAAGTTTTGGGCCCAGCTGGAGGCTTTGTTGGAGCTCGGGATGGCAGAGGTGGTGGAGGAGGTGGTGGCTGTGACGGCTGTGGGGGACGAGGGGCCTGCTGCTCCATTCGAGCTTGGATTTTACTGCTCCCCTCGGCTCTGAAATGAGATGTGGACATTAGGTTGGAGGGGCAAAAAGAGCTCCCACATCTGTTCAGGGGACCAAGTACCCACAGGTCTCTGCACAACCCTGTGCTCTTTAAAGACTACTTCAAAATACTGATGTCTGTAATTTTATCACACGAGCTGCTCACTCAACACGTGCCTATTGCATTCCAGGACTGCACTCTGCAGCAGAGATGAACGAGACAGACTTGCTGTGCTCACGGAGCTCACGTGTTAGAGCAAGCAGGTAAAACCAGTATGCAGGACACAATGCGATTATGAGAACCCTTTTTCCTAGTAGACCACAGCGTTACTTATTTGACCTGTGTACAGTATAAAGTTATAGTCACAAGTGTATGAGTTACTAAGTAAAACCAGCTCTTGAAATGCTGGCTAGTTTGCAAATTTTTGCACGCTCTATTACTGCTTGCTCATCTTGTCATAAGCCAGCTCTTGTGGGCAGACAAGCAAAGCATTCCACCCCAAACTGAGAACATTCTATTCATTAACAATTTCTTTTATAAATGGACTAGCCCAGCAAACTTTGGGCTTTCCAACTTTGGTGTGCACACAAATCACCTGAGGAGCTCATTAAAATGCAGATTCTGACTTAGCAGGTCCTGGAAATTCTGCACTTTAAAAAAGCATCCAAAGGGCACCAGGGTGGCTCAGGGTCCTGGGATGGAGCAGGGCCAGCGGGGAGTCTGCTTCTCTCTCCCTCTGCTCCTCCCCCTGCTTGTGCTCTCTCTCGCTAATACAGAAAAGCTTTAAAAAAATAAAATTAAATTAAAAAATAAAAAAGCATCCAAGTGATAGAATGCTGCTAGTCCACAGAAGACACTGAGTGGTGAGAGACACACCCACAACCATCAGCTGTTGGGGTAACAGTGGCACTGGTTCGGGGAGGTAATTAACACAAATATATCCCAGGCGGGAGAGGAGCAGGAACTTGGAAGCGCACCCCCAGGGTAGGGCTCAGCTGCGGTGCTGGCCTCCAGTGAAGTCACAAGCTCACCAGTAATCAGTCTCTTCATCTGTGTGCTTTTTTTTAAAGGATAACAATAGCACCTTTCTAAGTTATGTGTCAAGTTAGGTAGGATAATGCATGACAGCATTTGGCATAGTGTTCAGCACATGATAACCCAATAAACAGTAGCTACTTTGATTTTTTGTGGATTGAGTACAGAAAAATGGCTTGAGAAAGCATAAACAGAAAAACAATCAATCTGTAACACTCTAAGATTTCACGACTATACTACAATAATTGCTGTATCACAATGTGAAAAAGAGAACCACTGGGTTGCTTCTATTTATGGAATAAATTTTGACTTTAAAATCTAATTGGCTTCATATTAGACATGTAATACCTGTTGAATTAAGTATTAAAAGAGCTCATTATTTTAAAAAAATAGGTAAAACTTTATTTTGGTATTATAAATAACCTCAAATGCATCTTGTGAAAAATTAATGTTTTCAATCTAATAAAGAATATATATCACTCAATGATTCTTTCATAATTACAAGCCTACGAGTTTAAATCTTATCCCGTTAGGTGGTATTATATCAACAATCATGAGATTAATAAAATGGATTTAATTGTAAAGTACATCCTATTCCCCAGTGGCTTCCATGTTTCAGGTCTTAAAAGCATTATTTCTTTTTATTGCATTTGAGGAAGCGGTATTTTACTGACTTGTCAAGAAGACAGAGGTAGAGCTGTTGAGATTACCGATAGGACACTGAATACCCAGATGCTCACCTCCTTATAAAATAAACAGATAGATAACGCAAAGATATAGAAACCCTGTATCAATCTGCATCTGCTTATTCACATACCTTGTTTTCTTGACCTGAATGCTGCTACTGAGTTTCTCCAGCACATATTCACCAGTGTCATGATTAATGATAAGTACACAGTCTTTCTGATAAGGCCGTTTGTTCCCCTTGAACACAGTCATTGGTGGTGTAGATCCCTAAATGCCACAAAAGTAGAAGACAATCAAACTAGACACACCAGTTATGAATATCAAAACTGAACTTACAAATAACTATCTCATCAAATCTTTTATCAGAGCTACTCAAATAGATCAGAATAAACTAATTTCTATTTTAATTCCTCTGGCTTCCTAGGCAAAAAGGAAGGGGAAATAATAATATAGCAAGAATCTGTAACTGTGCAACTGCTTCTCAGTAATCGAGAAAGGTAATATAAACTTGCAAAATTACTGTACCTTTTTCTAAGGACTCAAGTTGTGTTACAAGTAATGGCAAGGTGTGAACTGATAAAAATAATTAGCCATTACTCAGTATTATACTGAGTAGAACTTTCACTATGAGAGTAAAACCAGTAAGTAATCATGGTATTTCCTTGTAATTTCAGAGTCCCGGGCTTCCCCTGAGGCCAAGCAAGCAAAAGAGCATTCTCTACGGGCAGCTCATTATTCTGCTTGGCTCAGAGTAAGTACATCATGCCACTCATCTGCCTAAGCCCTTCAACTGCTACCCTGTTGCTCTGAGACAAAAGAATAAAATCTTTAAACCAGACACCTGGCCCTTCTGCTCACTCAGCCCTCGGCTTTGCGGAATCCAGAGCAGAAGGTGGCTGGCCTCTCTCAGATTCTCAAGCTCTTTCTTGCAGGGCTTTACCAAGGCTTCTGCCTACAACATCCTGTCCCTTTTTGTTCAATTACTCAACCTTCAAATCTGCTCAAAGGTCACTTCCTTAGAAAAGCCTTCCCTGATTTTCTAAAATAAATGCTGTTTTTTATATTTATTTAATTCCAGACCATAAGCTCCCCAAGGGCAAGAAATATGCTTGTGTTGCTTAAGATTATATTCTCAGTGCTTAGTAATGGGCCAGCACACAGTAGGTACTCAATTAATATGACAAATAAAAAAATAAAAATTAGTATTTGACAAGTATAGGATTTAATCCCTTATATAGAATCAAAAACTGCTTAGCTCTTTGACTCCCTATTCATAGGGTAAAAACTTAAGAGTTGGAAGGGACCTTAGAGACCATTTATCTAACCCCTTCATTTTACATTTGGCAAATGAAGATCCAAAGGGAGATGATGTAACCTGCCAAAGGCAACAAGTAATGAAATAGCAGTTGGAACTGGCAGACAAGTAATTGTTCCTCAACATGAAGCTTCTTGTCCAGAGCCTTTTCATTCTATCACTGGTTACCAAGACCTTATTATGTTCCATCACAGGACTGTGACATGCAATGACACATGTTCATTAAGAGTGCTTTGTTTGATCCTTCAGGCTTTCTGATTACAGTGTTGCCTTGGGCAAAGCTTCATAAAAACCTCTCTGCAAGGGATCTCAATTTAGCTTTTAACTGGGTTCCTCATCTCTAAATTAGCTGACTGCTCTGATCCTCTGGTTCTTACTTGAAACTTTCAGCCTACACTTCACCTTTTGCCAGATGTATGAAATATGTTAATCCTGCTCCTGCCTCCCTTAACTCCTGGCTTGCCTTGCCACACTCCTAAACGGTTGTTGCTATAAATCAACATGGCATCTAGGGCTTTGCTCTTTGGGGGGGGAAAAAAAAAAGCTATGCAGATCTAAAAGAGGGGCTAGGTATCCAGATAGGAACATTGTCTATTTTGTAGCAAATGGGAGAAAAGGGAGCTTGGGGAAAATGGCCAAGAATCATTTTTACTCAAGCACCTGGGAAGCACGAATTCCAACCTACCCCACCCCCAAAATTCCTTTTTCCCTTATGCTGGAACTTTAGAAATCTAGAGGTTTTTAAATAGTAGGAAATTCAAATGGCAATAAATAGAATATGAGGATTCACTGTGATTCCACAATGCATAAACTTACAGGGATATGTGGCAGTGTAATTGTGACTTCATCTCCTTTGCCAACCTGAAGCTCTCCTTCACAAGAAGTATCTATAGATGCTGGCTTAAAGTCATCTAAAGGGAAAAGCAAAAGAGCATTTATCCACCAAGTTACTTATACTAAGCCTCCTGGGCATTCTTATTTAAAAATTTAAATTTTGGGGGGGCGCCTGGGTGGCTCAGTCGTTAAGCGTCTGCCCTCGGCACAGGTCATGATGCCAGGGTCCTGGGATCGAGCCCCGCACAGGGCTCTCTGCTCCGCAGGAAGCCTGCTTCTCCCTCTCCCTCTCCCCCTGCTTGTGTTGTCTCTCTCTGTCAAATAAATAAAATCTTTAAAAAAAAAAAAATTTAAATTTTTTTGTTACTTCAGATAAATGGAAAATACAAATTTAGAATTAAAAAAACAACTATTTCATTGTGGAAAACCCTGCATATACAAAAGCAAAGAGAATAGTACAATGAGCCCCTGTGTACTATCATCCAACCTCAATAATTACCAACTCAGTGACAATCTTGTTTTATCTATACCTCCCACATACTTTTCCTCCCATCCCCACTGGATTATTTTGAAGAATAAAAAAGCTAGAACTCATATACCATTTCATTAAGCAAAGATGCTCCCTTCTCCCAAGTGACAGATGAAAATTAATGCCTTATTACCCGTAAGGTGTTTTATCCGGGTTGTTGTGTACAGGATCAAAAGCAACAGAGCATATTAAGAAGATTCTGTGATTGTTAAACCCTATATGAAACATGAAAGGCCATGGTACCACATAAGCTGATTTCATTTTGCACAGAAACTCAAAATTAGGATTTGCCACACTCAAGTTCCATAGATTTAACAAAAATACTCTTGTGAAAGATGGTTGAACTGTACCTCCAAAGGTTAATCCTGCCCATATCTCTCAACTGCTGCTGAAGTACAACAGGAAAAGCCATCTTACTCCATTTTGACATACACTGGCCTCAAACTGCAGATCAGGTGCATATGTGAAGCGTCCCAAATTCCACACTGCGCTTCACGCTACGAAACCATCAACTTAGGAAACTGCTCAGGAAATGATGCTCTTATCACATTCCCAATATCCTCCCTCTGAAAGAGCTGATCTGCTCTCAGTAGGAGACATAGTAATGTTAATGACAAGTGACCACAGAAAGATGGAACTTCATTATCTAACACTCCCTCTTCCAATGTGTTGAGTCACATTTATTAGCTCCTTCGACAAAAACAAGTCTTAACCAGCATTAGTACTACCAAGACGGGAAACCAGGAGCTTGTGAATCACACAGGGATGATCAGTCAGCCCATTCTGAACAGCCAAAACTTTACCCAAGACATAGAGTGGACGTGCCCTCCCTCAACAGAGTCTGTAATCACGTAGAAAAGGAAGATCCAGCATAATGACTATTTGGACATTATGCCTCCTCTCCTCTGCTTCCAAACATAGCTCAAGCTTTAACTTATTCCAGGCTCACGAATTCTAATTTTATTCTTCACCCACATGAGACTTGGGACTGAGTTAAAGTCTGGGTTGTATAGGTGACCTCAAAAGACAGCAGAGTCAAACGAGGCACGGAAAGCTGGAGGGGGAAGACTGATGGAACGCACAGAGGATGCGGATTCTTTGGCTGCCGAGGGGATGAAGCGCAAACTCAGGGTGACCAGAACAAAGACGAACGAGGAAAGAAGGCTAAGGAAGACAGGGAAGAAGAGGATGGAATAGGAGGGAGTCGATGAGACTCCTGAGCAAACGGGAAGAGTCCTTCAAACGTGGAGGACCCTGTAGGGTCATCAGAAAGGGGGATGGATTAGACGGAGAACTGGAGTCTGACGTGGGGTCACAGTCTTTCGGTAATAAAGAGGGGTGAGTTTCGCTTAAAGGGCTGGGTGGGCGGACGAAAAAGGAAAGGGGCCAATAGCCTTCGGAAGAAGTATGTGGGATCACAAGACAGAAGAATAGTTGGGAGTGGCGAAAGGTTTGGTTTGGGAGTGAGCTGGAAGGGGAGGGGGGAGATCGAGGTCCCGGGAGGATCTTGGGGTAAGAGAGAAGGGAGCTGACGTAGGCAGGGGTTCCTGGGCTTTGGAGGGCCGAGGGAAGAGGACGGAGTCGGGTTGGCAAGAGGAGGGCGCAGCGGCCGAAGGGAACAGAGGGAAGCTCTGGCTTACAGCGAATGGTGTGGAAAGAGGCCCGCGGCCGCTTCTCGAAGCTCTCCCCGAGCCGCAAGCAATGCTCCTCGCGGTCCAGCAGCGGGTTCGCGGTCCCGTTCATGGCCCCGCACGAGCCTCGCGCCCGGACCGGCACTCTCCTGGCGCGGCCGCGGCCCCCGCTTCCCGCGCCAGCGTCCGGGGGAACGACGCTCCCTGGACAGCGCTCCGCAGCGCACGGCGAGCCCAGCCGGCGGTCACCCGGGGCCGGAAGCAAATCCTCTTCTCCGCGGCGGGGTGGGGGAGGACTGCGCGGAAGTAGGGCCGCGGGACTTCCGGCGTCGGGGAGGGACCTGTGGCTTAGTGGCGGAAATGGCGGGGGCGGTGCCATGGCAAAGGATTCCGCCGGGAGAGGTCCTCGAGGCGAGTTTGTCCCCGCGCGGCGGCTCCCCGACTCGGCTTCCGAGCCCGGGGCCGGGCTGAGGGCTGAGTGCGTCCGGCCCTACCGGTCCAGGTGAATGTAAGAACTGATACGGTGAGCCCGAGCGCGGCGAACTAGATGAACAGGGGCCCGAGAGCCAGTGTGGCCGGCTCTCCGCAGGCCCTGGCGGCCGGGGCGGCCTAGTGTCTCCCGAGCGCCCTGAGCGCGACGGATCCTGCCCTGCGCGTCATTGGCCTCTTCTCCTTCGCGCGTTGATGGAGAAGCAGGAGCTTCAGCCCCTGGAATGAGACGCCTCCTCTGGTTCGTGAGACAGCTTCTTGCGAGTGCGATCAGAGACTGGGGCCGCAGGGCTTAGCTCCTAATTCCCCCCCCCCCCCGCAAAGTGAGTCTCTGATCCTTGGGAAAGGATGACTCCACTTGACCACCCATTGAACCACCAGTTCAAGGAGCTCTCGTGATTGTCAGAAGTCGCCCCTTCCACAGGCCCTAAAAAGTGATGAGTGTTTTCTCAGTCAATTCTTGGGCGTGTCCTTTTTCTGAACTAAACCGATGTAATAGTTGACTTGTTCTGGTTTGAACTAGAGTTTGGTGCGTGAGAGTGCTGGCCACTGAATGTAAGCAAGCCCTCTGAAGGTAGGGACTATGTCTTGGTCTTTGTGACCGACCTCTTGTGTAGTGGGCCGGGTTTTGTGTAGAGTCAGCGTCTAGTAAATGGTGAATTGAACTGTTTGGTGAAAGAACTGTTCTAGAACCACTAACCCAGCGTCTTAAAAACTGTTCTAGGGCGCCTGGGTGGCTCAGTTCGTTAAGCGACTGCCTTCAGCTCGGGTCACGATCCCGGAGTTCCAGGATGGAGTCTCATGTCTGGCTTCAGGGAGCCTGCTTCTCCCTCTGACCACTTCCCGCTCCCCCC